CGGCCCCCTCCTCGGAGGCGAACACCCGCCCTCCTCCGCAGGGAGGAGACAGTGCCGCCCGAGCGGGAAACGTGAGGCAAAGACGGCGCCTTCCTCCGGCGTGCCCGAGCGTGAGGTAAATGTGGGGAAGGAGAGGCAAGTTTCAAGGTTATGTGTGTAAATGTAAAAGCATTGGGGGTTTGTTCATAGAATCGATGGTTTGAACGGACCTTCAAAGGTCAGCTAGTCCAAGCCTCCTACATCTTCAACCTCCAGGGTGGTGGGCGACCTGTGCCAGTATTTTACTGCCCGCAGTGTGAAGAAAGTTTTCCTCACATCCAGCCTGAATCTCACCTCTTTTAGTTTAAAACCATTACAAGAGGTCCTGCTAAAAAGTCTCTCTCTCCATCTTTCTTATAGGTCCCCTTTAGGCACTGGAAGCTGCTCTGAGGTCTCCCTGGAGCCTTCTCTTCTCCAGTCTGAACAACTCTCAGCCTCTCCTCATAGGAGCAGTGCTCCAGCCCTCTGATCATCTTTGTGACCCTCCTCTGGACCCTCTCCAACAGTGATGCTGACTGAAGACTCAGGAGATGGACGCAGTATGCCAGGTAGGGTCTCACCATAGCACAGCGGAGGGGCAGAATCACCTCCCTTGACTGCCTGGCCACGTTTGATTGTTAATGTGGTTTGTTGTTGTTGTATATAAGAAAATAGATTGGTTTTGTTTTTCTGGCTTATTCTTTACCAAAATCAGGAGACAAAATCAGACTATGTATACAAGTGTGTCTGGGACATATACACTGAAATGTACCTGTTTTTCCAGGCAAACCTTAATTTATGCTTAAGGTAAGCTGCATCTCCCCACATGATCTATTGCTACAAGGAATACTTTATTATATATCACAACAGAGCTGCTTCAGGGAAAGGGAAAATAATAAATAAATAAACAAACATATCACATAACTAAGTATTGCCAACTTCAACTTTAATAATGGAATCATCACTTTTTTTTTTTTACTATTTCAGTAATAACTTTAAGGGGAATAAAAATTAAAAAAATAAAACTAAGCTTGTCAAAATTATAAATAGTTTAAATGTTTGTTTTTAAAGACATACATTTTAATGTTTCCCTGCATTTCCCCCCACCCCACCCATATCATTTAATCGGTCTGGTACCATCATATAATGAAATGAAAACAGTTTGTAACAAAAGCTTTGACTGGTCAATTTGATACTAAAATTAAGGAGAAAAACTGACTAAGCATGACCATTTCTTTTAAATTAAAGCTGTTGTAATTGCCATTGCATAATAATAATTAAAAAATAATAACCCCCCACATGACATCTCACAATAATTAACTGTGGACTAAGACAAAATTAAAGTTTATTTTGGTCCCCCACCCCCACCCCTTCACCCCAAATCAAGACTCATAGTGCATACAACACTGAGGTTTTTGGCTAAAGTAAATGCAGATGCGCCTACTTAAAGAGACTGATAGTTTAGTTCAAGTAAAACCAAAATTCACATATTTTTATACTCCACTTTTAAACTCAAACAGTGTTTAAATCTGAGCAACAAATGGTTCGATGTTGACAGCGAATATGTAATGATTACATAGTTATGGGCAGATAATATAAATTAAGTAGATGTTAACCGAAGACCCACTGACATGCTGCTGCCTTCATAGAAAAACATTGTAACAAGACATAAAAGCAGTCCCTGAACCATTATAAAGTGTCTCGCTTGAGGATAATGTTACTAACTCACACATGCACTACAATGTTACATGTGAAATTAAAAAACAAACAAGATATGCCTTATATATACTTCATAGTTAGTCCTACTCTTAATTTATCTTAACACTTTAAAACGTTTATGATTGTCTCATTAAGCCTGAAAATTCTTTTTACCAAAAAAACCTGTGAAGAGTTTAACAAAAAGTCTTACTAAGGAAAGGAAACAAAGGCACAATTACATCAAACTAAGGGGAAGAACAGAAGCATCTTGGAGTTTCACACAGTATCCATTAGATGTCACCAAAGTTTTAACAATTCCTTGGGAATTTAAAACGAACACCGTAAGAGTGGAGGGAAAAAAAAAAATCCCACCACCTTCTGCTGCTCTTAAATCATTAGCACCCCCACCCCCCTCCCATGCCCCATAACTCATTTCCTTGCTGGCATGATAATGTCTAAAGTAGCAGTTACACAAATCTGCCTCATGCTTCTATTGCACACCCACTTCTTTGGTTTCTTTTGAACGTGCTTTTTTAGATAAATAACTCTGAAAGAACAACAATTATATTTACAGTAAAGTAAAAAGATTTCTTGCTACATCTTTCCTACTTTAAAATCAAGTAAATCAGCAGTCTGCAGAATTTGGGAATCAGTTTTTCAATTAAGAATTTAAAAACCATAAGGAAAAAAAACCTTCTGAATTACTAGAAGCAAGTTACTGAGCTCAGTCACCAACACAACCAACAAATCTTAATTTTCTGCTAAGCTGTAAACCTGAATGAGAAATTCTACTTTCTTTGCCTGACTGAGCTTTTAACAAACAAAGAAGCAGAGGAAGCTATCTTTCTCTTTCAGATACGATAATGCAAAATTATCCAGCCTAAAAACAGATCACTGAGCCAGAGGAAATATCTGACTATTACAATAAAGACCAAATGTGTCTGTAGTTACAGCTTATGCCCAGACACTTGCTAGATGGGTATTTCTCACAGAGTTAATTGAGACATTGACCACTTTTCAGAATTCAAGTAAGCAGCTTTTTAGCTTTGCTGCACTTTTCAACCCCCTGCCATGAACTTACGGAACCAGCTTCTCCAATAATGACTTGCATGTGCAGCTCCATTTCCATTTTTATTTTGCTTTTGCCTCTCATTCCTTCCCATTATTTCTATTATCTTTATTTCTTTTCCAGTGTGGATTTATGCAGTTAAAAGACCATAAAACTTATTCACAATATTATAACATCCTAAAACTTTAATCTTGTAGAATTACTATTTTAACTTTCCTCTGTGTAAATACTATTTCCATTTAAAACCAGTCCTCCTCTATCAGCTGTTAATTCTAACTCTTTCAACTCACCTTCTTTTCAACTTTCTCTTTACCTTCTCTAGAAAGACCATTTTAAAGCTTTCCACAAATTTCAGAGAACAAACCACAGGATCTCACGTCATCCATCTCTAACAGTTCTCTCACAAATTATACAGTAACTGTTCAAAACCAGAAAGGTAGTGCAAATCAATTTCATCTCAAAGATAGTGCTCCAACTAATTCTTGCCCAGTTTAATTCATTTTTAGTTTAACCCATCAATTTGCACATCCTTATTTGTAAAGCTAACATTAAAGCAAAGAAGAAACAAACAAACAAACAAAAAAATCTTATTTCATAGCATCCTAGAAAATTGATTACAGTTTCACAGCTTGCACCAAGATAACTTGGAAAACTCTCTAGGCACACAGAGGGTTGCAAACTGATGTACAAACATGCAGAATCCCTTACTTGTTGGTGCAAGATGCTAAGTGACCTGGCTTATCGAACTAAGTCTATAGCAAAATTCAGGTACCCTGGCATCACAAAACAGTCTTCCCAATAAAGAAAACTACTCTCTGCTGCTCTTTATAGGTTGGGTTTGGCATGCTATATTGACATTTGGTAGCGTGCATTTTTCCTGAGTGTCCTTTGGCCCCCTTTTAACCAGGTTTCCACACCCCACCAAGGGCTTCTTCAAGTTTGTCCCTGTAAGCTGCATAACGCTTCTTTAGGATTTGCAGTTGTTCGTTTTCCTCTTTGTCCAGTATACGCAGGAAGTTTTGCAGTTCAGGAATAGTAAAAGCTTCCCACTGGAAAAAGAGAGAAAAGGAAAAGGATGCATGAGCTGAACAGAAAATATACTAACAGTTTAAATATACAGTATTTTTAAACAAAATCTCAGACACTCAACATAATTTCAAACTGGACCAGTACCGGGCATCCTCGTCGCAAATCTTAGGGATCTGAAAACATTTTACTCTCTTAAACTGCTTTGTTCTGCAAGTAACAGTGGGTCAGTCTAACCACAAAGTAAATGTAACAAGAAAATAAACCTGCTTCTAAAAATGGATCTTCTTGTCAACACAGATCAAACTGGAGCCCATTCATCCATGAAGTTAAACATACACACAGAAACAGCACGCGTGTAACATACCATGACTTCTCCAGTTTCATGCTCACGTAAAACAAAACTGAGCATTTCTGTTTTGGGGCCTGCCACCAAACGCAGGTAGAGGGGGTGTTCCCGGTCTGACAGCTTGCATGTATAAACTGCAGGAGAAGAAAATCACAATTAATTATCATCTTCATTAATGATGTTTCAAACACTTTGAATGATTAATGCTAGAATATCACAAAGATATGCATGTGTAGCCACAAAATTTACACATTCTACATACTGTCTACATTTTAGTCTACATACTAGTTTTAACCAATGAGTTTTAGAGAGGAGCTGAGCAGGTGACTGATGGCAACACGACATTCACATAGGAAAGAAATGGCCTCTAGTCAACACAGTTCACCATCTGAATACATGCAGGGGAAAAACACAAGAAAAAAACCCACAACACAGATCTGTTGATCTAACTAAGCATTTAAGACATCAGAGCTGTGGTATCACCATTCTGATACCTTTTCCACTTAAAAATCTCTTACACAAAGTCTAAAAGACAACTCTGCCTGCCTAACACGGTTGGTGTGGCTGACAGCCAGAAGCATCTGAACTCCCAAAACTGCTCTCAATGTCCACGGAAGAAGGCAGATTCTATGTGCAAAAACACATGGTTGGAGAAATGTGCTTTTCACTAGAAATACCTCTTCCATCTTCTATTTCCAAACACAATATACAAACTAACAGCAGTCAGTGCACTGGGAGAGCCACATTTGCTAATTGACACATGCAAGCACAATGCACGTGCCCATGATGCTCACCACCTCAATAGCTGTCTGCCAGTGCAAGGACTTCAGGTATACCAGACACCAAGGTTTCCCCAATTGCTAAAAATCTCTCCTGGAATTTGATCTCACAAAGCTGCAGTGTGTCAGGCCAGCTGAAATTGAGAGTCTGATAAGGAGGCATATTATATAAAATATAATGGACTGCAAGGCACAGAAGATCTCTGTGGATGGCTTAGTAAGGATACTTTGTCTTTTGTGAATTACCCAGAAATACCCCAAATCATTTACTCTCTTACACATGCTACCTTTCATAAGGAAAAAGGACAAGAAAGAGCAAGATTGTCACCCCCATTTATCCGAGTTCTTTCACCCTGCTTATTTCAAGTATTCGTGTGGCAGCACTCCCTCCCCAAACCCCTTCACAACCAAAATGCCACAAGCCTAACTTATACCTTGGTCTTCCTTGTGGCAGCGTTTATAAAGTGCAAACTTCGCAGGGTTGTCAGCCACGAAAAACTTTTTTAGCAAGGCCTCTATAACTTCACGAACAGTGTTGGTGCTGCTGATATGAAGGGTATTCATGCAGCCCTCTGGCAAGTAAAAAGCAGTTTCATTATTGCTGTGAGGACATCTGCCCTGGCTCTGGGAAGACTGCACAGTGATCGGTCTGCATAGTTCCATCTGAACTTTGATGAAGCCAGTGTAAATCCCATTCGCATTCTGCAACAGGAGGAAAGTATTGAACTGTTAAAATTAGTAATGACCAATTGCAGCCTATTAGTAGAGTAGGCAGATTAAAATGGTCATAGTGAACACAAATGCCACTGTAACACATGACATTTTGTAGGAAAGGTACTGTTTCAATAGTTCAGACATTTATTCTTTCTGGTGTATCTGCTGAATTATTTTTTTTTCCTTAATAACAACTACTGGGTTCCAAGAGTATTAGGATCTCATCAAGCAAAAGGTACTACAAACAAGCGGTGTTTTCACATTAGGAGAGAACTATGAAGTGAAGAAGACCACTAACATGCATCATTAACTACAGATTTTATGCAGAAATACAGAAATTATTTCCCATGTTTCAGCTGTGCTTGTCAAATTAGTCTAAGGCATTTTGATACTCAAATTGTGTTGGAATTAACAATGAACCAGAATAAATCCCAATCTAATTAACATTTCAAATTCTTTATTCCAGTTGCTTCTGAAAGACAAAATAACGAAATTGATTAAAACTTACTGAGCTACAAAACTTCAGGCAATCTGGTTTTAGGCACAGTAAGTCCTGACCCCCATGCAAACAAGTAACAAAAATCTTCCTAGTACATAGTCACACTTACATGGTTTAGGATATAATGGAATTTCAACATTTCCATGTACTACACACCCAGAGGAGTACATAACGTAACAGAAAATCTGGACAAGGCAATGACTGAGTAACAGCTTGCTAGGCAGAGAGATGTGTTTTATTAGTATGGTCTGCACTCAGCCTTAGAACTAGTCCACAGTCCTTGGCAATGAGAAGTCTATATGCATTCCACTGTGTGTTGTCTGTATTCTGGGGGCAGGGGGAAGGAAGTCTCCTCATGCTGAAAACCTGTACAACTACTCTGAAAATTAAGTCTCTTAGAACAAATATTTAAATTTTGTAACTTTTCTCATTGGTTGAACATCTTCATCAAAGAGATACCTGACAAAAATTTATCTACACAAACAAGACAAATATATCTTCACATTTATCAGCTGAAGGTTTTCATCTGACAAATTTACATATTAGTGTTCCTCCAAGTTTATCTTACACATGTTTCAAGTGGTATATATATTTTTTCTACTACAGTTTGTTTCAATTCATATAGAAGAGTCACGTGGATAAAAACATTCCAGATGTGACATTTAATTACCAGATGTAAGAAAGAGCCTCTTACAAAGGCATTAAACCAGAGACAGTTTCATGTGCAAGATGCTGATGATAAAATGATTCACTACAAATTCAATTGCTCCTACTAAAAATTACAGGAATCCTATTAAAAACTTACCAAGGTCATCTTTAATTTATCAGTGACAGATGAATTATAGCTTTGTATCTTCTCTTTAACTTCTTCTTTACTGAGATAAGCATGAGGTTCTCTCTCCTTCTGAACATCCTTCAATGACAACAACAGAGATAACAGTTTTAGAAAACAAAATAAAACCCAGTTCCTTTATGACTTTGGATATGAGCATTCTTAGTCCAAATAGTAACTATTCCATAGAGGCTCCAGTACAGTAATTAGCAGTACGGCAATAGAAAGGATTAATATGTTAGGCAAATCAAACAGAAAGAACACTTAGACTGAATGGAGATGGTTAAATCAAAACACCCAAAGGCACTTGTGCCCTTTTTTTGCCAACTGTTTTCATTCAAATATTTATCAGCAGTATATAAAACAGCTCATCTAATTCATGGCTTGATTTGCTCCTGTCAATGCTATGCAGTATTGTTAGCAATACAGTTGCAATTTTCAGGAAATATTACTTAGGGCACAAATGGATATTGCTAAACAAATGAAGACTATACTTCAGAACAGCGGCACCTACTAACAAGAAACACCAACAATCCCCACATGTACCAACAACGTAAGAGCATCCCTTCATTCCAACGTGACAGACAGCATGTTACGCACAGGGTCACCAACTACTACTTGAACCATCACAAGTAACTCTAGCTATATCTTGTTACATGAAATGTGTGGTTTTTCCATGGGGAAGGCTCTATTCGATTTTTCAACCGCTGCTTTTATGAGGTTGCCACAGATATTATGTGCAGCAGTAAAACCCATCCCTGGAGTTGGATTTTAGCCAAACAAACATTTGTTCCCAATCCATATTCCTGCAGTAAACTAGTGTTATAAATATACCCTGGTTTCTACCACTAGTACAAATGCCATATATAGTATGAAAGAGTTTTAGCTCTCAGCTTTAATGATTTAAGACTTCACTTTGAAAGGGAGAAGCTTTGAAGAAGCTTGCAGCTTTCGGGGCACATCTGAACACTGGAATATAGATTCACTGCATGGACAAACTGTCAAGAAAGAGTTTTCCAACCTGTCCTCACAAGCACATCCCAGCTGACCTTATCCCAAGAAAGGACTTCCCTGACATCAGTGGCCAGCCTCATGTCACATTCTTTTGGATACCACTCAGCACACACCTCGCAGGCACTTCAGTTTGCCAGAAACAACCCCAAAGATGAGCACACCTGGTGTGGAACTGCAAGTTTCCATTTGCCAGAAAGAATCTACAGAACTTTTTCTGTCTCCTAATTTAAAACCAGCTAGTTTTAGCTCTCTTGGGCTTAGTTTTGCTTTTCCTATATGGTATTTCACTAAATGACACACTGGAGCAGACTTTTTTTCCCATAACTATAAAAAGAAAGGTGTGGTCTGAATGGAGAACTGGAAGCCAGAAATGTTGAATTCTGATCTGGGCTCAGATACTGATCTCCTGCATAACACAGAGAACATACTTTTATTTCACAGATGAGGAAACTTGAGGCAGGAAGGAATACCAGTAAAATACAACCCTCCTATTAGTTCCTCGAGCACAACTCTAAGATTGTGTAGCATCTTGCACAGCTGCCAGACCCCACCTAGTCTATTACAAAATACCAAATTACTAAAGGTTTTCAGAATTCAAGTCTCTATTCTCACTAGAGAAGTTGAGCTTCCTTGTCCTTCTGTTTTTCTTTCTCCTCCCCCAAAGTATCATAATAATGACAGATAGAGCTTCATTTAAACTGCTCCCTTCGTCTCCTCAGAGGCTCTTACAGCTTTGTGGTGTTCTGTTCAGGGGCAAATGAGTAGTTATAAAACAAAGCAGGCACAGAAAGAAAAAAATAAATCTAGGTAGGTTTCTTTTTTTTCCCCTCCGAAATTTAAGTAAATGTTACTGCTGTTTTCATGCTTAAAATACCAAAACCAATGACCCACAGTCAGAGTCTGGAAACATGGGCACTCTAACGCCAGTCAGATGTTAGTCAGTCTAACTGAAGACTTCAAGTAATGCTGTGGGAGGTGGCCAAGGACATTCTGCAAGCCTCTGGCCATCAAAGTCTGACAGAGCATTTGCCATCTACATGACTGATTTTAAGAATCCAAGCTTTAACTTGGAATGTTCCTTGTCTGTGTAGCTGCAGACAAGCCCCTTCACATGGATACCAGCCAAGACTCAGCTCTCC